CAGCGAAAAAGAGGAAGACCCTCAATGAGATGGATTGACACGGTGGCTGCAACAATGGGCTCAGGAGTAACAATGATTGTGAGGATGGTGCAGCACTGGGCAGTGTTTTGTTCTGTTGTACATAGGATCGCTCTGAATTGGAACCGACTCAATGGCACCTAACAACGATGTAAGTTCATTAATGGTAACAAATGTACCATAGTACTGTAAGATATTAATAGGGGAAACTGGGTTAGGGTATATGACCAATAACCAGCTTAATAAATAATGGCCAAACAGTTAAGGCTTCCTGTATACCTCTCTTTCTTTATAATCCCCTCTCCACCAGACATAACCACTGTTTTAAATTTGGTGATTTTCACTCTCTTGTGTTTCTTGACTTCTTCCACTGCATATGTATGTATACCTAAGCAACATGTACTGTCATTTTACATGTTTAAAATGTTACGTCTATAAATTGTGCATGTTATTGTTGTTGTTAGGTGCCCTCCAGCAGGTGCATGCTATATATATATTCCACCACCTGTCTGTCAGCACTATGGTAACTTGCATGTTGCTATGATGCTGGAAGCTATGCCACCAGTATTTCAAATACCAGCAGGGTCACCCATGGTGGACAGATTTCACTGCAGCTTCCAGACAAAGACAGACTAAGAAAGAAAGGTCTGGCGATCTACTTCTGACAACTAGCCCATGAAAACCTTATGGATCACAACAGAACATTGTCCGGCTCACTCGCTTTGGACACGTCATCAGGAGGGTGCAATCACAGAAGAAAGACATGTTTGGTGAAGTAGAGGGCCAGCAAGGTTAAGGGGGACTCCCCAGTGTATTCTACATCTTGCTCTTTTTGCCTCATCATAATACATCTGAGTTCGATCTTGTTTTACTGGCATGTAATATTCCATTGTATAACTATCCCATAATGTATTTTTTGATTCACTTATTGATGGCCATTTCTAATTTTTTGCTTCTACCCATAGTGCTATGTACATTCTTGCCAACATGTTGAAGTTTCTTTATGGCATAAATTTAGGAGGGAATGCTGGGGTTTAGTATCTGAAACCTTCAGTTAGATTTTGCCAAATTGGTTGTAACTATTTACGCGCCTACAAACAGGTGCGTAAAATATGTATAGACGCTTCGGAGAAAACAAAACTCTTGAAATGACACAGAAACTGGATAATATTTTTGCTTCATTATGGCTTGACTTCAGCGCCCACGTAGAGTTTTGCGAACAAAAGTTAGCCACACTTTAAAAGATTCAGACCGGGCAGAATTAGCCTCCCCCTACCGCCCAAGGGCGCAGACGCAAGCCTGCTTCCGGCGTCGGCTCTGACGCAGGGGCGGACGGCGTGACGCTCGGGGTCGCGTCCAGTTGATGCCTTTGAAGGCCCCTTTCCGGGCTGTCTGACAAGATCCAAGTGTCAGATATTGTTGGCTGATTATGTCTTTTTCACAAGAAAGGATACTGTCCTCACAGACCCTTTTTGTTCTTAGTAACGATCCCCTTCCCCGTGGAAAGAGTCGCTTTGGGCTGGCGTTTCATTCAGGCAGCGCCGCGGGCAGCCCGCCGGCCCTTGTAAGTCGCGAGCCGCGGCTCCACCTCCTTCTTTTCGGCCGGAACCGCCATCTTGCAGGTAGGGCTCGTGCGTGACTCCTGGTGACCTGGGTTCTACAGACTTGAGCCCCAGCCCTGGGACCGTTGAGGCCATGCACTGGGACTCCTGAGAGGCTGTCTAGTTTGTCTGGGATCTACTGGCGCGGGCCGGTGGAGCTATCTCCCATACTGGGAGCGGCGTGCCCCAGGCCTAGGCCGGGAACTGAGGAGCGGATTGCGGTGCCGCAGCTCTGCAGGGGGACAGTCTTGAGCAATGAGACGAAGCCGAGTTACTGGGGAGAGGCGATTCGAGTCAGTCTGGAAAGGATTTCGTCTCTTATGTACCCACGGCCTCAGCCCTGGAATCCTGGAATCTCTGGGACAGTCTCTGTTGCCGCGTGGCATGGTGGCTCTCGAGTTCCATTCGGTGCATTTTTGCCTCTAAAACGTAAATCTGTGGGACAGGAACTTCGGTATAGTAGGATCGGGTTTTGAATCAGATGTTGTAGCTTCCAGTGAGGCTTAGGTATGTGTGGGAGCCTGGGCATCTGGTTGGAGATGGGGGTAGGTGCCCGCTGAGTCGACCTGTTAAATGAACCGTAGACCTTCTCCGTTAATGCATGAAATGATTTTCGATTGTTTTTCGTTTTGACCCGGGATCGCAAAACAAAAGGAAAATTTTCAGGACATTTGCACCAGGAAGGGCTTATTGTTTCGGGCCCTAGTGGCGCAGTGGTTAAGCTTTTGCCTATTAATCCAAAGGTATATGGTTCGAACCCACCAGCCGCGCGGGAGGAAGATGTGGTGATCTGTTTCCGTAAAGATCACAGCCTTGGAAACCCTATGGGGCAGTTCTGCTCTGTTTTCTAGGGTCGCTAGGAGTCGGAATCGACTCCAGGCAGCTGTGTTTTTTTTTGTTTTTTTTTTTTAATGTGTTGAGTAAAGGGATTTCTGGATGTCTCATACAGAAGTGTTGGGGAAAGTTACTTGATAACCTCTTAATTCGCGGTTCATCTTTTTGTCTATTTTGTGGGTATTAATAGTTAGCTAGTAGAGTTGAACATCCTTTCTCAGCTAACTGGTTTTCAAGCTGCAGGTTGCACTAAAACATCAGTGCCTCTCACGTTGTTTTGAAAACTCGATTGTATGTGTATTTCGTCTCCACATCCTAAAATGGATTACTTAAGGGAAGATTAGCTGGTAGAAGGAGCGAGGGCTTTGGGGTCAGAAATAACTTCCTGTTTCTGCCTCTTTGTGACTCACTCCACAAAGTGTCTTGAACCTGCAGATCGTCCATCCTCGTTTATAAACAAGGTTTTTTGAGGGTTAGACCAGGGTACCTGGCATTTAAAGTAAAGAATGCATTGAACAGTGTTTTGGGTATGATAGGTTAAGCAGTTTTGTGTCTCGTTGCCCACATAAACTATATGGAAACGGTGTTTTGGTAGAGTTATCCTTCAAGATCAAGATGAGTCTTCAATTAAGAGATCAATTTATCTAATACGTTAGATTTCTGTCAGTTGAATTAAGCTTCACGTTATTTTGCCTTGTGATAGGAGTTGTTGCTAGAAGTGACAGTTCTGTCCTTGAGTGATTAGAAGAAATCAAAGCCACTCTTAATGGCCTTCTGGGGAACAAAGTGAAAGGTTCGATTCTTAATGCTTTTCAGTGAGGATGAGAGTTAAAGATGTGGGTCTCCCAGCAAGTAAGTGGCAGACAGAACCCATGTCAAATTTGAGGCAGTGATTACACAGACTGTTCTTTCCCCTGCTGTCCTGTATACATTTCCTGTTAAATTATAAAGTAGTTGGAAATATGAGATGAGTTAGAGATATCACAGAATGACTTGGACAAGTAAAGGGATTTGATACGCCATGTAAAAACTGAAGGCTGAATTTTGTGTTGTCTAACTAGAAATTATTCTCTTTTTAACTCCAGTTCCCTTGATGTTCTAGACTGGGTTCTACAAATATAGTGTTGTAGAGATCCTCTTGTGTTTTTATGTTCCAGTGGGGAAATTGTACTGGTTTGGATTCTAATTTCCAGTTTTGCTACTTAGGAGTTTAACTTAAATAAATCAGTTAACAGTTATGAGCCTGTATCTTCATCTGGAAAACTATTAGTTTTCTTGCCTGCTTTCATAGATGGATGAAATAGTCCCAGCCTTGTTGTTGTTAGGTGCCGTCGAGTCGGTTCCAAAACAACGAAACACTGCTTGGTCCTGTGCCATCCTCACAATCTTTCTTATGCTTGAGCCCATTGTTGCAGCCACTGTGTCAGTCCATCTCATTGAGGGTCCTCCTCTTTTTTGCTGACCCTTTACTTTACCAAGCATGATGTCCTTCTCAAGGGACTGGTCCCTCCTGATAACAAGACCAAGTAAGTGAGATGAAGCCTCGCCATCCTTGCTTTTAAGGAGCCCTCTGGCTGTACTTCCAAGACCTGTTTGTTCTTCTGGCAGTCTATGGTACATGGTATAGTCAGTATTAGAGGGTCATAACTTTTCTAGTAGAAGGCAAGGAATGGAAACGTGAATAAATAATATTTTAATGTTAAGAACTTAGGCAGTTTTGGTAAAGACCTTACTTGATCTTTTTAAAAGGCAAAATGTCCATTTTTACCCTTTAAAAGAAATGACTGGTGATCCAGCTTTTTAGATTGTTACCTAATTATTTAGTCTTAACATTACTACTAAAATGCAACCATCTGAAATTACAGGCTTTTTGTATAGAAGGGCAAATCTTAATTTTGAGGTTCATTTAACTTTTTTATACTTTCTGGTTTCAGTAATTCGCCAAAATGACGAACACAAAGGGAAAGAGAAGGGGCACTCGCTATATGTTCTCTAGGCCTTTTAGAAAGCATGGTAAGTAGATTTGTCCTCCTTGAGCAAATGTGGCATACATTTTTATTTCATTAACATGAGTCCTACAATCTATTGTTAATAAATGATGTTATATAACCAGCATCTACTTAGCTTATTTTGTAATAAAAGGTGTGACTTTTATATAGCAGTTTCTTAACTAAATATTGGTATATGATTAAACTTTGATCTGGAGAGGTAATGATTTAGTAAATTGATCTTACTTATAGGAGAAATTTTCAACTAGCAAGATTTTAAAATTTAACTGTTAAAATTGTGTATGCTTTTTTTTTTTTTTTTAACTCTAGACTTTTCTTTGTTTTGATACTGACTGTACCAAAATAATTTGCAGGAGTTGTTCCTTTGGCCACATACATGCGAATGTACAAGAAAGGTGATATTGTAGACATCAAGGTAAATTATAAAATTGGGACTATAACACTAGAGTTAGAAAAGCTGGATTTAACCTAATAAAAAGGAATAGTGCAAAATGGAATTATTGCTGAAGATGGAGATGAGTGTTGTGAAAATGCAGGTGGCTGTTCTTTTGTGATTGGTGTTTACATGGACCTGGGCGCTCTGGAGCTTGATGATGATTGTCTTTTTGATTGCCTTGAAGCAGTGTGAAAAACACATTTCACCGGCTCTGAAAGCTCTGAGTTGTCATTTAAAAGGGAAAGAAAGTCTTAGGATATCTTGGTTACTTGAAAATCCAGGGTTAAAAGAAAGAAGGAACTGCTGGCATAACATTTTTCTCCTTTTTCACAGGGAACAGGCACTGTTCAAAAAGGAATGCCCCACAAGTGTTACCATGGCAAAACTGGAAGAGTCTACAATGTTACCCAGCATGCTGTTGGCATTGTTGTGAACAAACAAGTTAAGTATGTAATGTCATAGTTCTTTGTGGCTAATTAATATTCCCTCATACCCACTTTTCACTTTGCCAATTGGACTTATGTCTTTATTGGTCATTCAGGTGGGGCAAAGGAAATATCCTTTTAAAACTCAGGCAGACTGGGTGTTTGTCTTGTATCCTGTCAGAGGAAACAAGTTGAAATAGACGTCCTAGAAAGTTTTACTACTTACACAATTTGGTTTTAAGCAGTTCTAGTTTTCAGAGTATAAAAAGCCATTTAAGAACTTAAAAGTTTTAGCGATCTGGTTTCGGTTAAATTACTTTGTATTTCAGGGTCTGCCTCTCACTGGAAGAGAGACCTTAAGAGTGGGAATGTGTGCCTCAAACCTTCTGCCAGTAAAATTAATATAAAAGGTTTCATGGTTTATTTAATAAATAAAACTGCCAAAAAAATGTTTTCTGAATTTGGGTTGTATTTTTGATGAAGTGTTTATACGAATTTTTGCTCTTTCCAGGGGCAAGATTTTTGCCAAGAGAATTAATGTGCGTGTCGAGCACATTAAGCACTCGAAGAGCAGAGATAGCTTCCTGAAACGTGTGAAGGAAAATGATCAGAAAAAGAAGGAAGCCAAAGAGAAAGGTACCTGGGTTCAGCTGAAGCGCCAGGTGAGTGCTTGATGGGGATTCCTTGGGATTAGTTTTGGGGGAGATTGACATTGTTCTTCAGTGATGCTATCTTTACAGAAGTGAATGAAGAATTGAGTGTATGCTTCATTGGTTCTCAGAGCATTTTATAGTTGTGTTATAGTACTTCGCATTACTATTTTATTCTTTTTTTTTTTTTATTAATAGCCTGCTCCACCCCGAGAAGCACACTTTGTGAGAACCAATGGAAAGGAGCCTGAGCTGCTGGAACCTATTCCCTATGAGTTCATGGCATAACAGGTGTAAAATAAAGACATCTGCTGTGTAAAAATGTTAGGTCTTTGATTTTGTGTTCAAAGCAAACTTTGTTTCCTAATTTGCTGGGTAGTGTCTTTTCTATTAAAATTTAATGTTTGCTGAAGAATACAAGGTAGCTTATTATTCAGTAAGGAATATACTCGATTTGAGGTTAGAAGACTGCCAGATATTATTTATACATAAATTTGACATGAATCCCTTTAAATCACCGTGATAAAACCAAGAATTTACAAAAATAAATGGAAGATTATCTGTTGCATTACAGTTAAGCTCAGGCAGTGTTCATTACTCATGATTGTATCATAAATAGTTGGATTTTAAGGATCAGGAACTTGGCTTTGAAGCCTCTTGCTTAAAAATAGATTGTTTAAAGTGCCCTGTTCTTTGTGAATTATATACTAGTTCCAAATTGTGCAGACTTTCTATGAAACAGTTTGGAGAATAGTGCTTATGGTAGCTTGAAACTAGAATGTCTTATTTTAATCAAGGGCAAATGTTTGTATAGTAATTAAACCATGTGATATTGTAAGTATTTCACATTACACCAAAAGCTTGGGAATAGGTACTGTTGGGTGCTGTCAAGTTAATTCTGACTCAGCAACTCCACGAGGCACAGTAGAACTGGCCTGTAGAGTTTCCTTGGCTGTAATCTTTACGGATCGCCTGTTGGATGGGTTTGAACCACCAGCCTTTTGGTTAGCAACTTAAATGTTTAACCACTGTGCCACCAGGGCTCCTTAAGTACTACTTTGCCTATTTACAGAAAGGAAACAGACACAATTGAGTAACTTGCCCAAAGTTACAGGTAGTATGTGTGAAAAATTTAAGTCTTAGTCACTAGTGTTATAATTCCTTCTGTATTAATGTGAACAAAGGTACTTTGTATGGTTTTAGCACATTTTGGTGATTCAGTTGATATTTACACCTGGATGTGACAAAAAGGTATCTCAAATTCAGTATGTCCAGAAGGAAATTGATCATATCCTGTCCTAGTCTGCTTCTGTATTTGAAATGGGAAACTTTAACTTCTCTCCTGTCAAGTGCACATATTTACCTAATTTTTAGATGGATTATTACCTGAGCCCTAACCTATATCCTTGAAACCATTCTCACTCCCTGCCTCTTATGAATCAAATCCATTTCCACCTTCTTCTTCTACCCTTAATCCCTGATCATGCCCCAGTCTATTTTAACTAATCTTTAAGATTCTACAGAGGCTCACCATAACCTCTTGTGATGCTGCCATCTCAGATTATAATTGTTGCATTGTTGTTATATGTTAATAGAGTGCTCAATTTGACAAAACCTAATTATCTTGTATTCCTGTTTCTTGGTAAATGCTGTGGATAGATTAAAAGTGACTATTGGTGGTCTTCAGTTTTCTCTACTGAAGTGGGATGGTTATTAGGGTACTGGTATACATTAAGTACCGTTGCTGCCATGAAGAAGTAGAGGGCACTTACTGAAAGTATACATTAACATTTGTAAATATGGGGAAGTACATATAAAGAACTGTGCTAACACCATATTTGAGTATTCAAACCACCTTATTAAGTTAGGGAATATTTACTGGTAACTGCTGGGGCAGGGGCAGTGGTTCAGTGGTGGAATTCTGGCCTTCCATTCAGGAGATCTGGTTCAGTTCCCAGCCAGTGTACCTGATGCACAGCCACCATCTCTCTTGGAGGCTTGCATGTTGCTGTGATGCTGAACAGGTTTCTGCAGAGCTTCCAGACTAAGACAAGAAAGGCCTGGCCACTGGCCTTTGAAAATCAGCCAGTGGAAACTCAGCAGTCCTACTGGTCAACAGTGGGTGGCACAGGACCAGGCGACATTTTATTCTGTTGTACGTGGGGTTGCCATGAGTCTGTGGCCAACTTGATGGCAACTAACTACTGGGGAAAGAGGGAAAAGGAAACAAACCATAAATCCCTGTTCCTTAAGGTAACAGTGTAGGAGTTCTAATGTAAAATAAGAGGTACCAAGAAGTTTATAAAAGGAGAAGTGGGAAAGGTTGGTATGTACAGGGCTGTTGTTACACTGATATTCCCGGTCTTCTGTTTTTGACCCTTACCACTGGCTTTCTTGTTTGCCTTCAGCCTACAGACTTGCCAGAACCAACAAATTAACCAACCAGCCTTTCCTCTGCCTTCCTTTCATAGCTAAATTTCCTGGTTCCCGCTGCAAGTCTGGCTTCTGTCCCCACCACTGATGACACTATAGTAAACTTGCAGATTAAGACCTTTCAGTTTAATTTCTATCTCCCTAATATTTGACAACACTTTTTTTTTTTTTCCGTCCAGAGGCTTCTGCTGTTGTACTTTGCCCAGGTTCTTCTCTTCCCCCCACCCCCCCTTATTGTGGCTCTAAGTTGTTAACTTGGGTGGTCCAAGCCAGTGGTTCTCAGCAACATCAGCATCATCTGGGAACTTGTTAAAAATGAATAAATGGTGGAAACCTCCAGACGTACTGAATCAGAAATTTTGGGGTTGAGGCTGAGCACTCTTATTTTAACAAGCCTTCCAGGTGATTGAGATCGCATGCTCAAGTTTGAGAATCACTGGTTGGAAGCCATTCCTGTATCTAGGCATTTTTAATACACTTGAGACCTGGATTTCAGTGCTCACTTTCTCTGAAGGTCCACATGTGTGTATCCAACTCAGGTGTCTTCATTTGGATGTATGGATTAATTTGTAAGGTAATGTTAGTGGAGAGATGAATTCGGTTAAAATCTCTGAGCTTTGAGTAGGGTGATAAAATTACGTGACTACCTCGAAATGCAGACCTTTTTAACTGAGCAACCACGACAGACTGTGAACTTACAAAATAACCCCTCACTACATGATTCCTTTTTATCACACTTACCAATGAAAATGAATAAAAATACCCAAACTTTCTACCGTGTTCTAAAATGGATAAAAGCCATGACGACACATGAAGCTGCATGGCCCCTTTAACTTGTGATTCTGGCTTCTGATTTAGCCAGGTATTTTGTAAGGCCTTCTGTTTTTGCTCAGTTGAGCCCAATCCCAAGGGTTGGATAATATATGTCACTTTTTGGAGATTTTCCTATGAATATCGTGGCCAAAAAAATCAGATTCATAGTGCTTTTATATTCCCATTAGGGTGGTAGTAGCATTTCCTCTGTACTTGGGTGGGAGAAAATGCTAAAATAGAAGCAATTGTGAAAATTTAGCAATAAAAATTGCTAAAACAAGGTGTATTTATCTTTTTTGAGCACGAGAAATAATTTAAAGCTGAATTCTGTTTTTTTGTTTCTTCATTCCCAACTCCCCCACCCCACCCCCAGGGAAAAATTGGTATTGTTAACAAGAAACCTTCACAGAGTCTGTTACACAAGTAGCTAGGTTATGAATGACAGGGAAGCAGCATCTGCAGCTGTTACTGCTGAGATGGAAAATGTGTACAGAGTGAATAAGCAGCCTGAGGTTCTGTATTGATTCTTTTCAAACAGCACAGGTGTGGTGAGGAGTAGCTCGACAGGCCATCTTACAAATTCTCTTAACAGGAGAGGTGCAGAGGAGACACTCAGATACTTCCAGCAAGATTAGGATTTATGGAAACCATTTGGATTGGAAAGGAAATGTGTCCATAGAATGAGATGATGGCTTAGCTTATGTGAAGATAAAATTGAATTTTTTGCTGCTCCTGAGAAGGAAGGGAGGCTCAGTCTAGATTAATTGCATATGGGAGATGACTAAACAGTTTTAAGATACTTGAGACTGGGCACTATATCCTGTTCTTTGTATGCCCCTGCATTTAGTAGGTTCTACTGTCCGCATCGGTGCTCTGGTGACACAGCAGTTAAGTGCTTGGCTGCTAACTGAAGGGTCAGTGGTTCGAACCCACCAGTAACTGGGAGAAAGACGTGGTAGTCTTCTGTAAAGATTACAGCCTGGGAAACCCTATGGGGCAGTTCTGTTCTGTCCTGTAGGGTCACTAGGAGTCACAAACAACTCAATGGCAACGGGTTTTCTTTCCTCAAAAACAGTTCAGTGGCTTCCCATAGCCTCCAGATAAATTCCTTAGCGTGGCATTCATTGCCATCCACGGTCTGGTCGTCAGCCATTTGGGTCACACATCACATCCTTCTCATTTCTGAAACTACTCACAGTTACCCAAACTTGCCATATACTTCCTACCTTCATGATTTTGGCTCATGCTGTTGCCTCAACTTGATACGCCAACCTCCCCTTGTTCCTCTGCCTATCAAATACTACTCGGGTGTGGAGAGTAGTGTATTTCTCCCTGCAGCTTTCCTTGATGCTTCCAGTTAGATTTTATTCTCTCTTTGCCGCACTGTTGGAGCTCACAACCGAACCTGCTTTGTCCTTCCATTTACATGTCAGGTTGTCCGTCCCATTCTCCTCACTGGTGAGAAGTGGCCAGGATTTGAAATCAGAGGGTTTGGGGTCTCCACTACTGAATGGCTCTATGATAAGTTACTGAACTTACCTGAATCTCAATTTTTTTTTTTTACCAATTTTATCTATGAAATGGTAAAATAGATATTAATGGATATATTAATGTAAAATAAATTCAACAGATATTAATCACAGGACTAAGTAAGAGTTAAGATGTTTAAAACTTCTTTTGGTATTGTCAAAGAAAACTGCCCCGGACGGTGCCAAACAGGCAACAACAACAAAAAAACCCATTGCTGTCAAGTCAATTCAACCTCTAGAGAGAGTAGAACTACCCCATAGGGTTTCCAAGGAGCGCCTGGTGGATTCAAACTGTTGACCTTTTGGTTAGCAGCCGTAGCTCTTAATCACTACACCACCAGGGTTTTCAAGGACATTACTGGAGAAAGACCACAACCAAGTCTGAACTCAACCCCACAAAATAAAGGGTAGTAGGGATTTGAGAGCTAAGGTGAGCTAGTGGAAAAGTACAGGAGGACATTAAGGTGGAACAGTGCCTTATGTCGAGCACATTGATTTATTTCCTGAGTTGTTAGGGCCAGCTGAATTCTGTAAGGACCAGGGTGAGA